GAGTGCAGGTGACTAATGACCCAACCTCAAGGGAAAATTGATGAAGGGCACTTCACTCACCAAATACCTACATTATACTGGGTGGGCACGTGAGAGGTGCTTTCTTCATTATATTGGTGATGCAAGTGTTATCTCCACTGTGTAGTTGGAGAAGCAGGCCTAGAGAAGGAGCGTTCATTTATTCATCAAATATATGCACAAGGAATAGGAAGGTTATAAGACACAGTTCTTTTCCTTGAGGATCTCAGAATATCACAGGAGAGAGACTCAGAGGCAAATCATTTTATTACAGACTTGTGTTTAGATGAGAATAGATGCAAGCACAAGATGCAGTGAAACCACAAAGTTCCCCAAATCACAGAGTCCGTAAGTGTCAGCCAGCACACTTGGTCGAGACTTCAGCACTATCATTCTAGCTGCAGATACAGTCGTCAGAACCTTCAGTCATAGTTTTGAGGAAGGGCAGTAGCCCTTGCTGCTGACACAACATGTTTAAGAACAATAAAAGGCCACCAGGAATTGGAAAGTGGCATGGTGACCTAGCAGCACCTCTGACCAGGTAGAGATGATGGTGGCCTCCTAGTAACCAGGCCATGGAGACCCTCCCCTGGAATAGAATGAATTTCAGAGTCTAGAGGTGGCCATGGGTGGTTCTAGATATTGGAGCCAATGGGACACTGAAGTTAGGAAACCAGCATGTCCTTAGAGGGACAGATTAAGGACAAACTGGGATTGAGAGGAGAGGCCACATTGGAAGTGGCAGTGAGGATATGAGAGTGAAATCACACAATTCTTGGGCCAGTAGAACTTGCCCACTCTCCAGGATCATCGTCTCCTGTTTGCTGTTTTCGAGTCCAATGGATCCTGACAGGACTGCATGCCTTTTTGAAAGCATCTCCTTTGCTATTAATTTGGCTTTTACTTTTCTTCTGGGCACCAGATCTGGAAGAAGCTGGGGGCCCCAATTTTTTCTAGGGATGCTGCAGGGTAGCCCAGGCAGGCCTTATACATCTGTGGGGCATGTGAATCACAATTCTCTCTGGGACAACAGGCAAGACAGGGTGAAGCCAGAGGATCTGAGACAAGGAGACTAGGACTAGAGAGATGACAGAGGGTAGATGGAAAGCGGAGCAGCTTGGGGAAGACAGCCTCCCTGGGCAGGTGGCTCCATTTGATTTCCGATTTAAAGGGAAGGCTTAGATAGCCAAGAAGAAAAAGGCTAATAAGAAAAATATTAAACTGCAGTGTGTGTGTCCCCAGGGACTTTCTGTTGCCATGACTGACCTCCCGGAGAGCGCCATTCGTTCCCGAGCATGGCAGCTTTATAGGCATTTGTAGGCCTGCAAAGAACACCAATTTGCTGCTGCAGTTTGTTTTGATAACTGAAACTTTCAATAAATCTATATTAAAATCAAAGGGAAAATTAACTAGGCCCCAGTGAGGGGCACGAAGATAAGGGAGCACATTACCACCCTGGCCTCAGCCACCCCACATTTGTCTCTTAGTTCAGATTCAGGTCACCAGGGAGATGAACGACCCAGGCTCAGGGGGAACAGCCCTGGTGAGAGCAGGGAGAAATAGGTATGGCCAGGTCCAACCCCACTGCTCCTCGAGTAGCAGAATAATGCCAGGGGGTAGAGATGGCAGGGAGAACATAGTGTGGTGGAGGTCATGGTGGGAAGAGGCACTGGAGATAGAGGTAGGAAAGGGTGAGAATAATAGTAATACTACTATTTGCTGAACTCTATGCCAAGTATTGTGCTAAACACTTCTGTAATTTAATTGTAGTTAACAGGTAGGTACTAGCATTATCTCTACCTTAGAGATGAAGAAAACTGAATCTCAGAGAGGTGTGTGATGTGCCTAAGGTCACAGAAACAGAACTCAAACCTGAATAGGCTCTTTCTCAGCCCACGTTTATAACTCAACCATCCTGTCTTATATAGAGAGACTATGAAGGCAGCAGCAATTTTTCTAGTTCCCAGATAAAATGATTTCAGACCCAGTATGAGTTTTCCTAACTATGCCAAGTGTGGGAGCCCTGGTCCAAGTTTTGGGAACTACTACTCACTGCCCTTCAATTGCTAGTTAAGGTCCTGGTTTTTGTCGGCTTGCTGTTTTCCCTGGTGGTTTGAAGGGTAGTAGAAGCAACTTGTTCTCAGTGTTCACTTTAGTCAGTTACTTGATTCAGAAGCCAAGAGATTGCCTAGGGTATACCTAAGTCTGGGTACTGGACTTAGTTCACTATCTGTGTCTCCAAATTCACTTGCCCCATCTGCACCCTGACACAGAGTCTTGGCCACTTGCTTACTGAATAGTCCAGCTGCCACTATCACCTCATCTGGTTATCTTAGCCTCCCCTGGGAGTGAGGGTAAGGTTTTGACACAGTCTCCAATGTGTCCACTGTGGTGGTGGGACTGCAGCAGGCCCCATTTGGTCAAACCAGTCTTTGACTCCTCCCATCACTTCTAGTTTCAGATGAACCACTATGCTCCAGGGTGTGGAATCTGGCGCCCCCTGTGGTTACCAAAATGGTGGGGTAATATAACCCTTTGTTTCTTCCTGAGGTGTGACTCTTTCTCTAGGCACATCTGGAATACAAAGAGTAACTAGCTGTATTCTTTGAAGCTCTCATTAACTTGGTAATACACTGTCCTGTATTGTCATTCCATTTCTCCGGCCTCACTTCTCTTTCCCTCTTACTCTTGCTGCCTTGGGCTTATACTTCCCATTTAAATCTAAGCACATAAGCTTTTTCTCAGGCTGTTTTCTAGGAAACCAAATGGCATACTATAGAGCCAAGGTTTGAGAGACCCAAATGTTGCATTAAGTAGCAGTACAAGGAAACAAGTATATATTGAACTCTTCAACTGTTCTTAATAATAGAACAGTTATATGCAGTAATGAATACACACACACACACACACACACACACACACATATATATATATATATATATATATATATATATATATATATATGCAATAATGAATGCATTTGCCTTATCTTTGTCCAGAAAGGGTTTACAGCCTGGTGAGGTCCTAGATGTTGTACAGTTGAGTCCTAGAGCATCAAAAAGAAAAGACCACATTCTAGGATGTTGGGCTGGGCCTTAAAGAAGGTCTCCAATCCAGATGGGTAAATGTACTTGATTCTCATAGTTGAGAAGTTTGCCTGTGTCATATTCTCAAGCCAAAAGTTAGGATATAACAAAGCCAGAGACCAAAGAAGCCAACTTACGGCCTCTTATTTTTATATTTACATTTTTATTTTTACATTTGCATTCCATCTCCTGTCCCTATTGCTGTTTATTCCCTCATTCATTCACAAACATTTATTGCATGCCTGCTTTGTGATTGGCACTGTATTGGGTATAATTGATGCAACATGAACAACACTGAAATAACATCTATCCTAAAAGAGCTTAAAGTCCTGGAGGAGAGATGCAAGGAAATAGACAATTATATAACACTGATCCAATGGAGTTTTATTCAGCCATAAAGAAGAATGAAATTATGTCATTTGCAGGAAAATGGATCGAATTGAGAATGTTAGGTTAAGCAAAATAGGCCAAACTTAGAAAGTCAAGGATCATATGTTTTCTTTCATATGTGAGAGCTAATGAGGAAAAAGGAAAAGAAAGGTAGGAGGAGATTTCATGAAAACTGAAGGGAGATCAGTATTAGAGGAAAGAGACCAGGTGGAGGAAAGAGGGGAGGCAAAGAAGAAATATTGTGGGATGATATTGGCCAAATGATATATTTTTTAACTTTTTTAATATTTATTTTTAAGTTGTAGTTGGATACAGTACTTTTATTTTATTTATTTTTATTTATGTGGTGCTGAGGTTGGAACCCAGGGCCTCGCACTTGCCAGGTGAGTGCTCTACTCCTGAGCCACAACCCCAGCCCAAATGATATTGTTATATTGTGTGCATATGTAACAATGAATCCCATCATTAAGTACAATTATAATGCACCAATGGAAATATGGAGAAAGGAAAAAAAAAACACTAATACTGAAATACACAGTAGAATAATTGAACCCATTATGTGGATGAAATTAAGGAAGACATTCCCTGATATGGGGATTACCAGACATTTCCAGCTTAGGTGAAAACCTTATGTTAAGATCTTAGAGGTGGTCCAGAAATGACATCATCGTTTTAAGTGAAAATGTACACATGGAGACAGAGGAGCTTGGTAACTAAAGCTGGTTGAATGTGGTGGTGTTGGTGCTGGCTCATAGCTGGATCCCTGATTGGGAAGCTGTCAACATCATCATTTGCTTATTTAAGACTGAGGTTTCCCAACTCATAAACTGGAACCCATAACTTCCCAGGCAACTGGCTTTGGTAAGAGTTCTCTCCAGGTGATTGGAGAGATTGTAGAAGCTTCCCACAGCTGCAGCCAGAAGCCTTTTCAACCCAGAAGCTTCCCTCTGAAGGGACATGAACAAGTCAGTTCCCTCCTCCCTATGCCCTTTAGAAATCTAAGCATTTTCTTCCTAATCTGTCTACCCTCCTCCCAGATCTCCCCTAGGCCCACATTCAAAAGTAGATGATAATAATTACTTGTTGAATGAATGAATCAGGAGAAAGTGTCACCTAAACAGAATGTCATTTTATGAGCCTATACTCACCTTATGCGTATATTGAAAAGTGGGGAAAAAATAGGTGTGGCACCTGAGTCGCTCTAGGGCTGAGGAAGTGTTCAGTTTTTAAAAAATCCCTTTCACTGCTCAGAAGTGACCCTCCCCTTCTCTTCCGAGTACGTGCAGTTTCAAAACTACAAGTCCCATAAGGCCGCCACTGGCAGTCACCATCTTCACATACTTTAGCGCGCATGTCGGCGGGAGAGCGAGCATTTGGGGAGAAGAAGCCCTGCCCCACTGCAGCCCATTGGTCAAAGGGGCCGACGGCGGGCTCAGCGGTTGGCCACTGCGCCCGCCCATCCGTCGCGTCGGTCGGGGTCAGAGTGCGCGGAGGTGAGTCGGTGTGTTGTGGACTCGTGGTGCTGGCTGCCGCTGTTGAGGCGGCCGGGAACGGGCGGTGGGGAGCAGGCGGAGCTGGCCCTGCCTCTGCCTGGCCGGCGCCGCTGTCGGCGCGGGCCGCGCCCGCCGCGGTCAACTACCCTGAGCGCCTGCTGAGGCCGAGGGAGACGTCGGGGCCTGCACCTGGAGCAAGCCTGCCGCGCTGGCCCCGAGGAGGGGGCGTTGCCATGGCGACAGCCTCTCCCGCAGCTGATGGGGGGCGGGGGCGGCCCTGGGAAGGAGGGCTGGTCTCCTGGCCCCCTGCCCCTCCCCTTACGCTCCCCTGGACTTGGATGGGTCCGAGTTGGGGGCAACACCCTGGGGTGGGTGATGCTGAGAGCCCCCTCCCCCAGCCTAGGCCCTGGTTAATGCATGCGGGTGGCGGGTCGTGGCTTGTATAGTTTCTGCAGTTTGGGGTGCTGGCCGGTGTGCTCACCCCCGATGCATGATCTACTGAGTAGCGTTCTGGTGTAGGGGGAGCGGGGCTGGGTTTTGCCAGACAGATTGGGTGAGTTGATTAAGGGGGCTGACTCCTTACTTGGAATTACTAGAGAGGTTTGACCAGAGAGGCTAGAAACAGCAAGGAGATAGTAGAGAGAGAATATCCCCTCTCCCCCTCCCGACACATGCACACAAAATTAGCAGTTTACCTCTGTAAATTTGAAGCGATGGAAGGAGTGAATCAGGGCCTAACCTGGCTACCTTTCTGTTTGCCTTTCCTGCAAGTGGGCCAGCAACAGGTGTTTTCTTAAGACAAAAAACATTAATTTGGATTGAGGCATAACTGTGAGTTCTTGCAAAATGTAACTTTCTTTTAAAATTTATTTATTTTTTGTTGTTGCTTCTTGTTGACTTGAAAGATGCTAGATGTGGGGGTCCCTCACTAGGTATGTGGAATTTGTTCCTACGGCTGAATTTGGCAACGAATAGTGGCCACTGTGTTTTTCTGCTAGAGGTCTCTGACCACTGGTATGGCATTTGCTCTTGTCAACATTTCATCAGTTTCCCAGCATTAGGGCAGCAAAACATGAATTTCATTGGCTAAAGACTATTCTCTGTTTTAATTATAGTAGGTTGTGATTGGATGTGTTTTTTTTTTTTTTTTTTTTTTTTACTTGTAGTACTGGGGATTGAAACTAGGGCTTCCCATTTGGTAAGCAAGTGCTCTATCACTGAGGTACATCCCCAGCCCTTTTTTAAGTTTTATTTTGAGATAGGGTCTTGGTAAATTTGCCCAATCTGACCTTGAGCTTGCCATTCTCCTGCCTCAGCTTCCCAAGTAGCTGGGATTAAAGGTGTGGGCCTGACCTGGTTTTCAATTGTAGAGTTGTTACCAGAAATTGACTTCATCAAATTCTGCTTTATTCTGACTTTATCATATACAGTATACCTTGTTTTAGTGGGTTCGTTCTTGGAACCTAAGTATATTATACCTGAATCCCCTACCATTTAAAAGCCAATTTATAAACAGGGACTTGGAGTGTGACTCCACTAATGTGTGTCTGTGATCTTAGTTAGAAACCTACTTGGCTGCCTTTCAGCAAGAGGTGCAGAATGGGGGAAGGGAGCTGCCAGTAAGTGATTGATAAGGTTTCCTTTATGGATTCTGTGTTGCTTCACTGGAGCTCAGAGCACTTTGGCAACTTAAGCACTCCAAATTAAAAGCTCATTAACAATTCCTGCCCAAAGATCCTGTAAATAATCAGCTAGCTAGGTCATAGAGCTTGCCTAAGAGTGCCTCCTCCAACTTGAAATTTCTAAATAAAAGTGCTTATATTCCCTTTCATTTTGAAAAGTGTTTTCTCTGTGGTGGGGTAAGTTAGTGAGTGGCCTTTTCCCCGAGGACCTGAGTAGAATGAAGTCTTAAATGTGTATAATGGTAGACAGGAATGTATTGGTTCCACTTGTGCTTCTTTGTGTAAAGGACATCACTAGCTTATAGGATCATCATGCAACTTCTGGTTCTTTGGAAAATCTGAATTAGGTGATAAATAGGATAGGTGTCCATTGATGGTTTGAGTTGGGGTTTGGTTACTTTGACTTTCTTAGAACTTGAAGCAGAATTGGAAATATCCTGAAAGTGTTTCCTGGTATTTGTGGCCATTTGCAATATGGCCTGTGGGTTTGTGGCAACTAACCCCTGCCTCAGTCCTAACCTAGCCTTAGTTCCTGAGTTTGGAATATTGTCAGCCTTACTAGTATCTCCTTGTCTAGATAGGATTCTGAAATTGTCTAGTGAGCCACCACTTCATGGCCATCTTTCTCAGCCCAGGCTCAGACACTGTAAATATTTGATGTTTCTAGGAAGTAAGTCTCCTTACCAAGAAAAGGATATTACTAGAGAACATGAAATCCATCATTCCAAAAACAAATATGGTACTAATAGCTTCTGGAAGTTCTGTAGGAAACTGTTTTTCTACATAGATAGCTGTTATCCCAAAGTTTTGAGTTTAGGAATTTGAGGTGAAGTATGATCCTTAGTGGGGATTTGATCCTTTGTGTTGAAATAGACTTGTTGCAGAGATGTGTGTTTGTCCACAGCATTGGGGCTTTCCAGCTCTCACAGAACCTTCAGCATCCCCAGCTGCCAGTCTTGGCATCTTCGAAGTAAGGAGAGGTGAGAATCCTGTTGCATGGTCAAGTTTGACTTGACTTCTTTATCAGTATTTGGGCTTGGTGGGGGTGGGGGTGGGACTGGTGCAGATTGATTTTCTGTAGCTTCTTTTATTAGGCAGCATATGCTCAAAACCTATGGAAACTTCCCTAAGACTTTAAATTGAGAATTGGAATTGGGGATTCAGACTCTTGAGCTCTCTCATGATTTTTTTAATGGGCATCTCATAAACACCCTTTACTTTCAGGATGGTTGAATAGAGCTAGAATAGTCCTTTATCCTGAGAAATACATGTCTTAATACAAGAGGATGAAACACATACATTTGATTCTTTTATTTTAATATTTTTTTAGATGTTGGTTATTTTATTCATTTATTTATATGTGGTGCTGAGAATCGAACCCAGTGCCTCACACATGCTAGGCAAGTGCTCTATCACTGAGCCACAACTCCAGCCCAGCCTTTGACTCTTAATGTATTTGACCAAAGCCTTTGTGATATTGGTTTAATTTGAGTTGTGTGAATAGCTTTAAGTGAATAGCTAGTCCCAACCTGTCTCCATTTTGCCAGGATCAGGGGCTTGCTAAAAAGGCAGACTCTGATGATTATTATCTAGGGTCTTGGAGGCAGTTTGTGTAATAACTAAGGGCCAAGCAATTTGCTTGTTTCTGGAATTGTAATGGTGAACGAGACAGCCACTGTCCCTGCCACTAAAGAACTTAAAAATTCATGGGAGAGACAGATAGTAAAGAGACAGTTAGTTATACCTGAGAGTGCTCTAGTAAAGGAAGTGCAAGTTCTTTGGGAGTGCAGAAGTGTCCCTAACCCAGACTTATGTATGCAGGAACAGCTTCTTAGAGGAAGTAACCACTTCACCTAGATTTAGATGAAAACACAAGGAGCCAAGTGTCAGAGCTTTGTTGAGTTTGAGAAAGTCCAGTGTGATTTAAACAGTGCTTAGTACGCAGGGGCAGGAAAGGTAAGTTGATGGCAGAGCCTTATAAACTCTTAGAATTAGACCTGGAGTTATGTGGGTGGGTTGAAAAAGATTAGAAACTGGTAAATCTTTTCTGTAAAGGACAAGATAGTAAATATTGATCCTTTGTGGTGGCTGCTTTACACAACTTGGCAGTTATGTATGAAAGCAGCCATAGACAGTTTGAAAATGAGTGAACATGGCTGTATTTCAATAAAACTTTATTTATAAAAACAGGTGGCATCTGTATTTAATATATGGACTCTAGTTTGCTGTCCCTTAAGAATAGTAGGAAGCCATTAAAAGGATTTAGGTAATAGAGTGATGTTAGTTTTGTGTTATAGAAAGTTTGCTTTAATGTCAGTGTGAAGAATGGATTGAAGGGGACAGATAATACTTGAAACAGACCAATAAGGAAGCTATGGCAGTTACATGGATAGCATTTTATATTTCCCCTTTTGTGGAAGTATTTTGGTCCTTACAATGAAGTATAACTGCATTTTTGTTTTCATGGTTATATTGGTTCTCTTCACTAACTTCTTGGTTATCCACTGTAGCTTAAAGTATGTCTGTCAAGGAATGTGTTGATAATATCAGCTCCTATTTCACAGACTAGAGTAGATAGAAGAAGGGAAAGTTGATATAGAATGAATTCAAAGATTTTGGGAACTATTTTCTTTTTCTAATTTTTTTTTTAAGTTGTAGCTGAACACAATACCTTTATTTTATTTATTTATTTCTATGTGGTGCTGAGGATTGAACCCAGCTCCTTGCACATGCTAGGCAAGTGTTCTACCACTGAGCCACAACCCCCAGCTCTGGGAACTATTTTCTATTGAAGGAAGTATGGAATAAATAAAGCCCTGGAAGGGATATTGGTTTTAGGGTTCATGGCTTAATGTCAGTTGCTTTGAACTTACTTGAACTATACACACAGAAACTGACCCATTTTCCTAAGCTTTCTAGGGAATTGTCCTCTTTCTGTCCTACTCAGTCTCTCCTTTCCTTGCTTGCAGCAGACTGATGACCTTTTCCCAATTTTAGAAATTGTTTCCTGGTTCAGATATGATGATGTGTCAGGCACAGGAACCAAATAAAGTATTTGTTGAGTGTCTAATGAGATTATAGCACAGAGCCCTGTGTTTGCTCTTGACTTTTGTCTTCCACATTGCTAGAGGGAAGCTTGTAGGTTCCACCCCAAACCTGTAGGTTTCTTTTTTTTTTGGGGGGGGGGGGAGGGTGTTACTGGGATTGAACCCATGGGTGTTTAACCACCCAGCCCCACCCCCACCTTTTTCTTTTTTAAGTTTTGTGTTTTGAGACCGGACCTTGCTAAGTTGCTGAGGCTGACTTTGAACTTGCAATCCTCCTGTCTTAGCCTCCCGAGTTGCTAGGATTACAGGCATGTGCCACTGCACTTGGCCCAACCTATAGGCTTCTGATAGTAGTGTTTATGTGACCTTGCAAAAGTGACTTAGCTCTCTGAGCTTCACTTTCCTATCTGTAAAATGGAGATAGAGGACTTAATAGGTTGGTTAAAGGCTTTGGTAATGTATATAAAGCTGTTAGCACAGTGCCTAGACACATTTTTATTACTAATAGTATTTTACACAATGATTTTTTTTTTTTTTTAAAGCAGGAAATAGTTGACAAATACTTTAGAGTCAGCACAGTTGTCATTGTGTCCAAATGATAGAAACAGCCCTGGTGGTGAGAGCCAGCACATAGGAGGAAGTTACAACAAAAGCAAGGCACTGTCCTGCCTAATGGAAAATTTGTACACAGCAGGAGTTCCATTCAGAATCCCAGAATTTTTTGGGGGATGGACCTTAGTCTCAACACCATCAGTAAAGTGAGTTGAATGAGCAGTTTCCCAGTAAATTTCACCTGTGACTAATCATACCTCCTTATTTGTCTGGGGCCATTTATTGATATTGTCACCTTTGAGGCCCTGCATCTTTGTAAAGTGCCTCTTGAATTTTTTAGATTGCTTTTACCACCACTGCAGGAAGTTTTTCAGATAGTATTCATTTCCTTGCTACCATGTGAGGAAACTGAGGCCCATCAAGGTTAAGTGAGTTGCCCAAAGTCATACTGTGACTTACTGTTAAAGCTAGCGCACATTTGCCTCCAGATGAAATTGCGTTTGTTTATTGCTGTGATTTCTCTTTCCTTGAGTGGGAGATGTGTAGTCATTGCAGAACTGCAGTCTGATACATGCCTTGTCCATATCTTTGAGGCTTCATTTGAGTCCTACTGTATCTCTTTGGTTCGTTTGGGTTTTAATGTTTGATGACTGCTAGGACCAGACCTGTTGGGAAGCAGATTCCCTTTGGGTTGTTGTTTTTAGCCTTTTCTCCTTTGGGGACATTCCTTGGGGAGCCTTGGGTTACAAGAGATTGCTTTGATATGTTCAAAATTGTGCCTTGTGCCCCACAGCTACAGGTAAAATCAAAAGGCAGATAATTTATGGGAGTGTCAAAGCTGGCCGCTGGCACCTCGGGAGGCCATTAGTATGCCTGTTCAGACCCTCTGTGTCCTTGCAATTGATTCCTCTTTGCATGAGCCTGATTTGGGAAGCTGTAGATCTGTGGGTAGTGATTGGATGTGACAGTCCAAACACCGGTCCCTAAATTAATCCTTTTAATGGTATTCTGGCACCAAGGCAATTTCTCTTTCTCTCTCTCTCTCAACTGGGGAGGACAGAATGGGGTGGACTGGGAGAAGAATAGAAAGGAAGGAAGGAAAGAAAGAAAGAAAGAACCTTTGTTTGGTGCCTGGGTCATGCTCTGTTTTGGCATGTTCTAATTCCAGAGCAGTGGACTTTGGGCATATTAATTCATTCAGCAAACTCATACTTAACTTTGTGCCTGACCCTGTGCTGGATACTGGGAATACAGAAATGAACAAAATGTAGTCCTTGCACCTAAGGGTCTAACTCAGTGTTTCTCAAGCTTTTAAAACTCTTTCACCATTTAGATTTAAAAAATAAATCTCACTGGGCGCGGTGTACACATCTGTAATCCCAGTGGCTAGGGAGACTGAGACAGGAGGATCACGAAATCAAAGCCAGCCTCAGCAATTTAGTGAGGCGCCAAGCAACTCAGTGAGACCCTATTTCTAAATAAAATTCAAAATAGGGCTGGGGATGTAACTCAGTAGTCGAGTGCCCCTAAATTCAATCCCTGGTACCATAAATAAACAAACAAATAAGTAAATAAATAAATCTCATGCCCTTCTTTAATGCTGTATATGAAATTTTAAAATACATGAAGGAGTCTCAAAGTCAAGGCATTAGCATATCTGATATGCTTTCTTTTTACATAAACATGCACACATATGCCTATATATAGCTATTTTCTATTCTTAACTCCTTGAAAATTATTACTAGAAGGAAAACAGATACCTAACATAGAGAAAAGTTACAAAATAAGAATAAACTGCGTTACTGAATAATAAGCAATTAACTTTCTGATGGGTTATCAGAGCTATTAAAAGAGGGAGATTTGAACTGGGTTTTGGAGAAGGGTTGATAATTTGCCTAGTGAAAAATAGAGGGGCATTCCAATATAGAGGGAGTAGCATTTGCAAAAGTTCAGATTTGGAAAAGGAAATGTCACATTTGGGGACCTGGGCAAGAGCTGATTGTAACCTTCCTCCTGCCAGTTTCTCACTCTGTAAGGTGGGAAGATTTGCACCTCTGGAATTGTATTTGAGAAGGAGCTTTGAGTTCTCCATTGTGTTTTAATTCAAGACATCCCTTCCTGTTCCTACTTTTGTGCTCAGGGCTGTAATTTGTTTTTCTTTTTAAAATTATTATGAAATCAAATTTGGTTGATTTAGGTTTAATCACTGCCTAAGTTTGAGTTACTTCTGGTTAAAATCACACCTTACTTAAAAAGAAAAATTGGGGCTGGGGCAGTGGTAGAGTGTTGCCTAGCATGCACAAAGCCCTGGGTTCAATTCCCGGCACCAAAAAAAAAAAAAAAGTTAGATTTTTCTGGGCATGGTGGTGCACATCTGTAAT